GGGTTGAGGGTTTAGGGCTCTAAGTGTTGGGGCCTTAGGGGTGTAAATGCTTGGAGTTCGGAGCTCTAAGTGATTCATACGCCTTACAGCGCCTTCATGATTAGAATACGGTTTAGGATCTATTGTACTATAAGTCTTAGACTCTCTTCTTCAAGAATCAGGCCAAAACAAGTTCAAACTTTTTAAGATAGATCTAATATATAGGGACACAAAGTTTAAAGTTCTCCCATTGGCTATCTAAGTAGAAGGCACTCTGAGGAAGACTCTTTAAAGCAATCAGGCTTCTGCACTAGCTCCGAGATCCGAAACCTCGGCTGAAACCGCCGGACCTCGATCAGATGAGGCACAGAGAAGGGGTAGCTGAAGCACTGCGTGGGGTTCAAAACGGTTTAGGGTTTTGGGGGAGAAGAAGAAACGTCGGTAATAGAGGTGCCAAAAGCATTAGACTATGGTTCGGGGGTATAGTATACTATAAGTATACTAAGGAATCCCCAAACACCTCTTCTAGCTATTAAGGCCCCTCCATTACGCTTCGAAATATCACTGAAGAACGAGGGGTCGACGGCCCAGCTGCAGCAGCTGTTGGCATTGCCTTCTGCATCCGGGATCCGACACCGGCCTAGGTTCGCACTTTGGAGCCTCCCGAAAATTATTCGTACTCGGGTTTGGGGGTTTAGGGTTTAGGGCCTTAGGGTTTTGGTGTTTAGGGTTTATAAGGCTTTAAGGGTATAGGGTTTCGGGCCTTAGGGTTTTAGTGTCTAGGGTTTAATTATAAGGCTTTAGGGTTTTAGGGTTTACGGTTTAAGGGAAAGTACATGAAAATACAAAAGATGTCAACGGCCTACCCAGGGGCAGACCACACTGCTTCGGAAACTGGAGGTGGAACTTGGGAACTTGACGCACAGCTAGAGGGCCAAACTGCTCCTCAATCCAGAGACTGCTCGAAATTGGGGTTTAGGGCAAATGGTGTACGATGATTGGGATCATCTTTTTGAGGCTCAAATTCGAAGGCGCAAGGCAATTCTTGATATCGCCTTTGTCCAATCTCATTCCGTTAGGCCGCGAAACCTCGGTCACCAAATCCTACGCCCCAAACAAGAAACTCTTTTGACCTCATTGTCATTGTCATTTTCCGATGCAGGGTACCTTTTTGGGGTCCTTATAATAGGGATCCTACTATTTAGGGTTCTATATTAGGGTCCCCTGTTTTCTGAAACCCCCATATGGCGGTTGAGGTTCAGGACCTGGGGCCAGTTGGGTTTCGCATCACCGTAACGGTGTAACGTAAACCCCTAAACTGTAAACCCTCAACCCTAAACCCTAAAACCCTAAAGCCCTAAACCTAAAACCCTGAACCAAGACTCAGGGATGTTGGTTGAAACTCTAGGAGGAGATTCCTTTCAAGTCCCTTTTTTTCCGGTTTAGGCACAGGGGTTCCTGCTTAGTAAGCCCTAAACCCAAACCATGACCGTGGATCGTCCCTCCCTTACCCGAAACCCTAAACCCTAAATCCTAAGCCCTAAACCCTAAAACCTAAACCCTTTTTCCTTTTTCTCAACCTCCCATGCGTCCTGCAGCTTCTCCTTGGCATCTGGAGGCATCATCTCCAGCATGGCTCCGAATCCCAGCCTGGGATAAGTTACAAATTCCTGGCGCCCTCAACCCTACCCTCACAGGCCCCATAGTAGTTCCTTTTTGGGATTACCTTATAGGATCCTATTTGTGAACCCCAAAAAGGAGCTGCTATGGGGCCTATGGGTAAACCCTAAAGCGAGAAGCAACAAAGGGCGGTGTAGTAGGACTACATTTCAGGGTTTTAGGAAATCGACTGAGGCCTTAGGCCCTTAAACCCTAAACCCTTTAGGGGCCTCCTTGGCTCGCAAAAGAATCAAGCTGAGTTCTGACTCATCTACGAATCAAGCGTGGCACTCAGAACCCGAACCCCAAGGCTCCATGGGTTTAGGGTTTAGGATTTAGGGTTTAGGGGTTTAGGGTTTAGGGTTTAGGGTTTAGGGTTTAGGGTTTAGGGTTTAGGGTCCATGTACCTGTGCAGTATATACATACCATGAACCCCAGAAAGTTGGAACATGGGTTTAGGAGGATTGGTGCTAGATTCCCTACTATACTCTATATTAGGGGCATGAGGATATTGATGTTCCAACTTTCTGGCTTCTGCTATAGGCCTGTAGGTACCTCTTTAGGAACCCTTTTAAGGCTAAGTATACACTATATGCGTACATGGAGCCTGGATAATCTGCTCAATCACTCCTTCAAAGCCTGCCGCCCGCCCCACGTATTAGGATTTAGGGGCTTAGGATCTTTAGGGTTTAGGAATTAGGGTTTAGGGTTTAGGATCCATGACATACCTTGAGGCACATCACAGGAAGCTCGAGATTCGAATAGGATTTTCGGGTACATGTTCAGTGAATAGAAGAATGACATACATACCTATACGGGAGCACCACGACGAATAGGCACTTAGCCGTGTGGGGTCGGGATGTTTCGGTTCAGGCTCGGGGGTTCGGAATGCAGTTGAAGCTCAGACGACGCCTTGACTTAGTGTTCATGTTTGGCTTTAGGCTTAAGGATGTAAGGGATTAGGGCTTAGGGGCTTAGTTGTCTTTGCTAGCGCCGTTTTCCGACGCCGCTTGCCCTTCCGACTGCAGGGTTTAGGGTTTAGGGTCTTGAGTGTGATCTAGGCGTTGCCCTTGGATTCTGATGAAACAAATCCTGCATTATCTTAAGGACCCTAAGCTATGGCAATTATGGTATGTTCCTTATTATGGGCTATGCAGGATTTTTATCATCAACCGTATTACGCAGGTGTTTGGAATTCCTGACTCAACCAAAGGTCTGCATCCCTTCATCACCTCACGTACCCCAAATCATTCCAAATCCTAAACCCTGAACTCCCAAAGCCTTGTCTACAACCGAAGCGGGATAATATCACCCTGAACAGACATAGCCACAGTCCCTGAGTATGGCTTCGAATTTGTTTCGCCACAGGATATTTCCCTAGGGATCCATGTACCTATAGAGTAAATAGCAGTATATACATAAGCTTTTAAGTACCTCTGTTGGAACCATTTAAGGCCTAAGTAAAGACCATAAAGGTACATGGAGCCTCTAGGTTTGGCAGCTGAACGCGTGGCTCAGCGTCTTGAAGCCGGGTTTGAGAGCTTCATACGTGCAAACACGACGACACAGAACTGCCCGAAACCGAAACCCACACCCTGAAGCCTAAACCCCCAGAACCCCAAACGACCCTAAAGCACTACATCCCTAAACCCTAGACCCTAAACCCCGAGACCCTCAAACCTAACATCCCCAACACCTAAAACCAAGAACGTAACTTTTAATCTGAGCGGCAGCTCGTCCGCTGTGCAAGAGTTCTGTCTAGCGAGAAGCTCCTGCGGCGTTTGATAAACATAATATAGAGGCCTTAATAATTAGAATAGGGTTTGGGGGTCATGAACCGACAAACTAGTGTTGGTAATTATTTAGGCTCCTATAGTACCACAACAACACCATCATCTTTAGCAGCCTGCTCACGAGCATGTTATGATGGCAATGACAGCCATCCCCACAGGTTGTCTCATCATCGCCACCGCCGACATCTAGAGTCGGTGGTGCACGCGCAAGCTGACTAATGGCACTTCCATACATTCGTCCTCCATGAAGCCTTCCCGCATCTGAAACTGCTGCCTAGGCCGGGAGCCCGCAGGGTACAGATTTGCGGGGATGTGGGCTCTTGGTTGCTATGGTCATGATTCTAGTCTTTGGACTTTAGACTCTGGGCTGGCAACCCGAAATTCTGCGAAGATGCAAAGCCACGTCAACCCTGCATCCAGGCCTCCCAACATTCGAAACACCTCGAAGCCCGTAATGGTCGTCATGTGGAAGCCTCAGACAAGCACCAACTCTCGCCACTTGGTAGGTGTCGAGACCGAAAGCCCTGGTGCCCAAACCCTCATCAGTTCTAACCTTGACATCCTTAGTCCCCCAACCGAAGCACAACGCCCTGAATCCCAAGCCTGCAAAATCCCAGAACCCTAAACCCTGAACTGCAAAGCCGCGTCTGACCTAAGTTTTACTTCCAATGCATAGTGGCCTAGTGAGGTCTGACAAGAGGCTGGGTCGGAATGCTGGACACCGGCTGCACACTCTCCTGGGCTAACATTGGAGACTACTCTCACGTTCTCGCTATACAGATGTATACACACAGATTGTATATACATGTATGTATGCATATGTAAATACGTCGCTTTATGATATATGTCTACCTATATGCACATGTATACATATGTATATATATATATACGTATATATATATGTATGTATGTATGTATGTATGTATGTATGTATGTATGTATGTATGTATGTATGTATGTATGTATATGCACACACGTATGTCTAGGCGTATGTCTGTGTAGACCGTGCGTATATGTATGTATATATATATACATAACATATATATATATATAGATAT